CATCTCAGAGTACTCCCTTCCCTGTGTTGTTAGAAAGAACAAATACCCTCTGAGAGACAGAAAAGCTTCAACCCATCCTAAACATCTGGAAAAAAAAAATCTACTTCTGGCAAAATCATTTCAGTCACCCATACTACAGCTTGCAAGAGGTTCACGCAGCTCTGCGGGTACGGAAATTCTCCACTTCGGCTGCTATGCTTCAGCAATTTCTGTTAAGCACATATGAACCCTTGTGTTAGAAGAATTTAAGTTTGAGTGAGTTTTCACAGCCATTATTGTAAGAAAAATCTCGTTTCTAAGTTTTAAGTTTCTGTTTCAAAGCACAAGGGACTTACAATATTTCAGATACACTCAATGCTAGATTCTAAAATAAATAAATCGTTTAAAAAACAAGTCACAAGTTTCCATTCTCAACAACATAACCAGCTTCACTGCAGTGAGAATGGTTAATCATGGGCTGCTAGCCATCCAGCAATCCAGGGCAGCCAGTTTGCAGAAGGAAAAAGTAATTAGCTTCTGTAGCAGTAGTTGCCCCCTCCACTCTGCCATGCTGCAAGAACAGTGGGGCAAGATGCACTGCTACGTCCACCAAAGCAACTGATGTCGGAAGTTTCTGGCCTGCACCTGATCACCACCCAAGTTCAGGATGACGTGAATAACCCTCCATGCAGTGCTGTTCAGCCTCACAGACTTCATCGAACACTTAAGGCTAACTGTAATAACTAATCCATGCTTCTATGTTCCTTCCAAACCCACTGCCATTACAACGTCTCTGTAAATCCCTGAAGGCTGTCATCTCCCCCTGTAGCCACCTCACGCCATCGCACACACAAGGCTGCAGTCGCATGGATTCTGCAACCGAGCCGTGGTTCAGAACCGTGGTTCAGCCGTGGTTCTGCAACCATTCATGCAGGCAGGAGCAGCGCTCTGGGCTGGCAAAGCTGCCAATGACTGAAGCTAAAATTGCTTCCACTCTTTAAGCCCTAAAAGAGGCAAGCTGTCTTGTAATGCAGCATAGGCAAGTTAGTCAACCCTAAACTACTGCAAATAAGTTTAAAAAACACTCATTGCTAATATATTTTGGCATGGGGAAAGAAGGGAGGGTCTGCATCCCTGACCATGTGGAGAGAAGAAATTGCCTGATGCAATCTCACACAGTGAAACCCAAAATATCCACCACTGGTGAAATATCAGAATGATAATCAATGAGATTGCAAACAAGTCTAAACAGAGCTCCAGCAATTTACAACCAATTTAGATATGCACCAGTTGCTTGGAAAGAAGTGACTTTCACTGTATTTTGACTGTCCTGTAAAAAACAAGTACGTTTAAGGACAAAAAAATCACTGTTCCCAACTACAGAAGCCTGAGATATCATTATGAACTTCATACAAATGAGAAGTTTTAAAATATTTGTCTTATTTTACCTAGCTAACTATAGTTCAGTGGGGTCTTTTTAAATTAAAGTTGAAAAAAACACACACAAAATGTGTTCTCTGAAGAGCAGGTGAAGTGTCTAGGTGACATTTTGTAGAATTCAAATTATTTTCCATCTATCTTAAGCAAGCTCCAAACATATCTTCAACTTTTTAGATGAAAGCTTTCATGCTTGTTCCCAAAACATGATTAGCCTCCTTAAGATCTGTATGACATATTCAGTTTAAAGTCTGCATTTTTTTTTGGTGTGCTAAGATTATTTGCCAGAAAAACTAAAAATATGTGCAATAATAAAAACAGACCTAAAAGTTTATTGCGGATTTAAAAAAAAAAAAACATACAACATATTTCAGTGTCTCGATAACATTCCTTCTTACAAGTCTAATACCTTCATATTTAATCTCAAATAATATGCTAATTATTCTGCAAGACAGTTCAAATCCTTGTTTCAACATCTTCAGCACAGACTTTGCTACCTTGTTCTTTTTATTGAATCATTATAATGTATTTTCTTGATTAACCAATTAGTAGATTCTTCTTTATGGCATTTTCTTTATCCAATATATCAATTGTTCCTTTAAAAAAAAAATATTAAAAAATTCCAAACCAGAAGAGTCTGCAGAACAATTTTCACCCTGTCACTGTCTGTGGTGGAGGAGAACCATGGCTAATAGGAAAAGGGATGAAGCCTCAAACCTGCTTTACAACATATTTTGTATTGCAAAAGGACGTATTGTTACAACGCAACAACAGGGCTTCTCATGAAGGACCCTCAACCTTGGCAGCCATGTACTATCACCACGTTCCATAGTACAGACCAAGACACCAACAAACAACAGACCTTGAGCAACTACGAACTAGCACAACAGTTACTAGTTATTTACTTGTAAAATCTTTGATATAATAGTATCCAGCAGCCTAATTCAGAGATACTGAAAATCAAGAATTTTTCCTTCTTTCACCATCCCTACACATGGGTTACACAGTGCTGAGGTACATACTCTAGTGCAAAATCAACTCTAAGTCAAACACAAGTATTCCCCCCTCACTGACAACATTTGCCCCTCGGTATTGCTGACATGCCAAGTCCAAGAATTCTGCCAGGCCATTAAAAGCTCTAAGATAAGAAATTCTCAATTTCAAATTCTCCTACTTTTGGGAATGGAGGCTGTATTGAAACATCTCCTTGTGACAGATGTAATTATAAAAAAAAAAGGTAAAATGGATTAAATCTGTGTACGAACATACATAAACACAAAGAGAGACAGAGAGAACACGAGACACCTCCAATTTCATTATGCGATTTGTAAATGCCAATGCACAGCTGTTTTGGCGGGCTTTTTTGGACAGATAGCAGATTCTATAAATTCTATTACAATCCATATGGATGCACCAAGTGATTTTCCTCAGTTGTCTACTCAATGAGGACAAAAAGAGTATTATTCACAGGTAACAAGAGGGATAGTATAAAAGCTGGGCAGCGAGGATGTGGTTCATTAAGGGAAGAACTAAAGAATTCATCAAGGTGCACTGTGAGGCACAGCAGCTTTGCAAGAATTCTCTGATGTGCCAATAACATCGTAACAGATACCCGAGTAAACTAGTTAAGTAGTTTTCCCTCACATTAACGTTGGTTTCGGTGTCATTCAAGCTGTGGTCACTTACAATTTCAGAAACATGCTTTATCCTTTCTACAAATCACACAACAAGCCTGGTACCCAAACACTCTTCTGGGGTGCCTTTACATCTTCCAACAAACTTAGAACAGCCTTCTAGCAAGAACACTCGAAACCAAAGCACAGTTTGTTTGTTTTAATAACACAACATAGGTATTTACCTTAGTAGTGTGACAGGCAGCCAGTCTGCTAGGAAGCTTCCGTACCATTAAAGATAATTTATTTTTCAGGCAATTTTTAAAATACTTCTTTAATAAGACGCTATATAACTGATGTGCCCCACATTTAAACTCATACCATTCAAGCAGTCTACCAAATCATTTCCTCCACCAGCAGCATGAAGATGGAGTGCATTGTGACACCTCATACATATTTAATAATAGCCTGATAGGCTGTCATTAACATCAAACAGCAATCTAAGTTTGCTACATTAAACATGATCGCTGTGTTAAGAGGACAATCACAAAGTGCCTCCAAGATCGAGCCTGTAAGAAATATCCACTGACTTGGACAAGGTGTAATGAGGCCAACTGCACTGAAGAAGCCATTATTCACACATTGGATTTAAAATTAAAAAAATTTTTTTAAAAATTTAAAAAAGCAGGGGAAAAAGAAAAAGCTTCAATGGGTCATAAGACCAGACATGCCATAAGGCAATCTGTCACAGAGTACTCATACTAATAACTGTTGTGTCAAAACTGAACATTCAAAAGAAAAGACAAACCTTTCTTTATGTTTTATGAAATGTAAGCCCACAGAATTAATAATTCATGAGATGAAGAAAAATATCAGATTTGGATATAAATATTAACAGAACGCTGTCAACCTGTTTAGAACCAAATTTTGACTGTCCTACCTTATAATTATCAATCTAGAAGGAAGCATTCTTCAAAAGCTCAAAAAAAACGAATCAGTATGAAAGTCATTAATGAAGAAATTGACATTCGTTATTCATGGAGGTCCTAAGCAAAACAGCAGAACGCTGTTCTGCGCCTGGCTGTTGCTGACTGCCATTATTTGTTCCCAGAGTTACGCTGGGTTGACAATAACGATGTTGGTGTGCACACAAGAAAGTACTCCGAAGGGATAGACTGAAACCAGGACCCAATGGAAAAAGGGTAGGAAAAGAGGGGAAGTAGATGTCAGATGACAAGCAAAGATAAAAAAGCTAGTTAAAAGTTAATATAAGTTTCAGAATACAAAGTTTATACAACAGGTCTTGAATAAATTTTTCCAATTAGCTAAAGAACAGGCATTTAAAAACTACAAAATAAAGCAATTAACCCATAACGCACAACCACATATCATTAAGTTCACTGCATGTGATTTCGACCAAATATGAAATATATTTCCAGAATATTCATTAGTCTCAAGATAAATATTTACTAGACCTATAAACTGATGTATTTATTTCCATTTTAATCTTTGTTTACTAAAGTGGTTAGCAGTTGAAGTTCAAGATCTACAAGAAGCTTCTGCCTTATGACGCCAATCCTTCTCTGCTTTCACTACTATTACAGAGAATAGAATATTAGAACACAAAACACAATTGGGCCAAAAATTAAGAATGCCATCAAAATGTGTTGTTCTAAATGGTGGTGACAGAGTGCTTTTCTTTACAGTTTTTTTTCTTCTCCTCGGCGCTAGTATAATTTCAGTCTAGTTATGTCCCCATCTGCACTTACGTTCTGGACAACCGTGTTGAAAGTACTTACATAAGCATCAATATTGGGCATACATTAAAAAAGTCAGCCTAAACACTCCACTTTTCTCCACAGTTCCTGACATTTTCACTGCATTTTACCCAATGATGAACACACGGAATGAAAAGGCAAAGAAGTTGAATGTCACACACTTTTTAATTTTTTTAAAGAAGTTAACTCCTACCTTTATCATTCTAGAGAGATCTCCAGCATCAGCTAATTCCAACACTATGTTCAGTTCATTATCTTCAATGAATGAGGCATAATATTTAATTACATTTGGATGATTCAGTTGCTAGGAAAGCAGAACAATAACACACATTTTAGTGTAGAGTACATCTTATAAGACTGACAAATGAAATCTTATTTACGCAAACGAAACAACCCCTTTGTATCGTACTATTTCAGTATGATATAAAAAGTATATGCTTCTGAGAAGCATTTACAGATAAACGTTTTGCAAGAACATGATGGCATTTTAGGATCAACATGATGACTGAAGTTGCAATTTTAAAGGAATTTTGCTTCAATACATCTACGCAATAGCATGCTAAACTGCTACCTGAAATAGCAAAGTCAATTTGTAAAATCAGTATTTTACTGTAAATAGGACACAATTATTTACAATACTGTGGTTTTCGTAGAAACTTCTACTTGAGAAGTTACCTGGTTTTCTATCAGATTTTCTTCCCCAATGTTACTTTTTAAAGCAATAAAGATTACAAAATTAAGTGAGGCTTATAAAAACTCTACACAGACAACAGTCCACATCTCAAGCATATATATGAAAAACTTAATATACTTTGAGGATGGCTGCACATTTTTTAAACAAATCTTTTACCTTAAGAAGATCTATTTCTTTGATGCAGTCAGCACGGGCTTTGGCATCCATTAAATCAAATATCTATGCACAAAAGACAAGATATTAAGTGAAAAAATTTCAGCAAATTCAGTGATCAACAGCATCATTTCATGGCATCCATAAAGCAACTTGAGTTATGCATTTCATGGCGAGAGGTAACATTGCAGTAAGAGATATTCCTAATGCTCTGATGTACTGATTCACTGCTATATCAATTCTCTTAGCCCCCGTGTAGGAAACAATTCCATTTTAAGTACATTTTTTCCAATGATTTAATTGCCACCTTCACATATCTGTTCAAACACACAACAATAATTCAGCACATTGTCTTCAAGTTGGTTCTAATCCAAATGTCAGCTTCCTCTCCTATTCCTGCCACACCATTATCACAAACTGATTTTTTCCAGTACTGAGCATATCTTTTTTCCCTAGTCTCTTGCTACAGTCTTCCTTTTCTATTCTTAATAATGCATACACTTTCACTCTCTCTCTCAGGATCAAAACTTCATTGTCACCTCCAATTCCTTCTCTCCCATCTCCTTCCCTTCAGCAAGCAAAGAAGTGCTTTGGGTTCTGTAATTTCCTTACTAGAGCACTTTTTTCTAAGCCCTCATCTGTCACCTTGACTTTTACAGCCTTTTACAGTTAGACATCTCTGCTCTTCATTTTCTTCCCACTTCCCATCTGCTCCAAATTACTCTGCAACGTATCTCAGTTTTCCCTCCTCCAGTTAACCATGCTACTCTCCACAAATTTCAGTTTTTGTTTGGAGTAATTTTTTCCTGCCATTAAAGTCCTTGTATACATTCTACACATCTATATTTGATCTGTCTTTATTTTCACTTCCTCTTTTTAGCACCTTTGGGTTCCCTTCTCACTTTGCTTTCTCAGATGTGCATCTCCATACACTGCCACTGACTATTACATTTAGAAACGACTAAAATATTACTTCCTCAAGGAACCCTTCCTCACTCGTTTGGCATTACTTTCTGAATCAAAAAAAGATCCAAAACCAAATAAACCAACCCCTCATCAACTTCTGTGTGGTCTCTCTATTACATTTTGAGCTATCCTAAAGAGTAACAGAGACACACTATGAGTTTTAGTAACCGCCACAACATTTATGAGATTACCTTTTCCAGTTACATCTTTTCAATGTACATCATTTCTTGCTAGATACTGTCCAGGAAAAGATGTATTATGCTCTGTGAAGATCACTGGTACCCAGTTCCATCAGCTCAAAATGATGAAAAGCTCAACAGCTGACAACTTGTTTCATACCTTGCCACCAATCCCAGAAACAAAAATAAGGATTAACAGCACTTTGAATACTGAATGTCTGTAAAGAGGTCATCTAAACTGACTGCATAACTGTCTATATGAATCACACCTTCTTCCACTCTCCTCAGAGAAGTTCAAACAAATCAGGAAGTCTGCACATGATCTGATAAACCTCATCTTAATTTTCTATGCCACTAGGCACAACAAATTTGTCATTCCTTTAATCAACTGAAAGAAGTCTAGAGACTTCATCCTTGGAGAACAGTCCTTACAGAGCACACATGTGCTCTTGACTAGCCACTCCTTCCCTTCAGACATTCAATCTTCTGTCTTCAGAGCTGGAATAAGAAAAAACAGCCTGAAGTGGATACAAGATTCACTTTTCAACTAAAAGACAACTGTAAGTCAAGAACTGAAATGCCAGGCTTGTGGAGAGTAAGAAGAAAAGGGGGAGGAGGAGAGAAAGAAAGAAGAAAACAAAACTACTTACCGAGAAAAAAAGGGAATAACACATCTCACAACTACTTGTATATTAATGCCAGGATGATGGGAAATAAACAGACTGAGCTAGAAGCAATTATTCAAGGAGGAGACTGTGGGGGACTTAACAGAAACACAGCGGGGTAAGTCACAAGAAAGGAATGCTAACACTAAGAAACAAAGCCATTTCAGATGTAGTAGAAGAAAAAAGTTAGTGCTATATATGAAATTACAAGTATTAAGAGGTAAATAACTGATAGAAGAGACAGAAAAGATAGTTTATGAATTAAGGTTGAGAACTTCGTGAAGGACATGAAACAGCCTGCATCTGTTATAGATCTCAACTCTGAATGAAAAAGCATTGCCCTCTAATCATGTTGACAATAGACTAGAGTCCTACTATTAGGTACGGTCATGAAGGAGTGTAATGATTTTTCTAGGAAACTCTTCAGAAAGTTCTAAATATGAGAGGTAGCACATTAGCTGAGGAAGTACTGGGAAGGCATGAGATCATAATTGTCTTTCCCGGTAACCTGAGAGACTAGCAAATGGAAAATTTTATACCCCCTCTCCCAAAAACAATCAAGGAAAGTGTGTACCAGGGAGCAGCGAAAAAAGGTAACAGGTACAGGGCCACATCTTGAAGTTCACACTTTTGCTAGTTCTAGATAAAGGTGAGCTAAGAACATTCCTTATAAATTAGATTAGACAGAGAACTTTGAACACACTGGAGAACCTAATCAAAGCGGCAGACAGAGTTTTAGACTGAAAATTGTACACAAATTATCTACCTGTAACATTTGGAGAAATTACCCAAAGCACAATTCCAAGATTCAAAACCAAAAGAATTTCATTGTGTGAAAAACCAGGGCAGTTTGCTCCTGTTATTGACTGTTCCAGTACGCCAAGAGGCTTGTTAACTTACCTATACACCAGAAGGGTTTCCCTGCACATCTGAACGAGCAAATTTTGGGAGCAAATTTTTTTTTTTTTTTTTTATAAGCTACGCCTCTGATAGGGGCATAGATTAGTACCTCTCATAGAGGAATAACAAAACAACAAAAATAAAGCCCTAGACTCAGAACTGTGAAAGAGCTAGGATCAAGGCATAGGAAAAAAAAGACAAAATACGACTATAAAAATTTTGTTTGTGTGTATTCTGGCTGGTATTCCCAGTATTTCCAATTCGTTATTAAACAGCCTGAAGCAGACTAGACCAAGCAGCAATTTCTCATGAAAGAACACACTCAAGTTTTACAAACATGACTCCCTATACTTTTGCTACACTTCGTAAAGCAAATTTGTGGAAAAATTGAGTGGCAAATTTGTCACAGCTTTAGCTAAACTGAATATTTTAAACATTACCTGAATAAAATAAAGCAAGAAAGAAAAACTGAGTCTTTTTTGATCCTTACAAACACTAAGACAGACAACCTGAAGATTTACTGTATATTATTCTTGACGTTCTCCATTAGACTTTCATCCAGATCTAACCTCAAAAGACTATAAATAGCATTTCCCAGAAATCCAGAATTTCAGTTTCACAGACATTAACCTCCTACAACGAGAAGACTGGAAAAAAAACCCAGAACCTAAAACAACAACCAAAAAAACTTCACCCAATCCATGACCTCTGAAGAACCTCTGCCCTTTTACACCAGATTCAAGCAGCTTGCAGAGATTTTCTTTCTGAATAGATTATCTTTCCATTTGCCAAACTGCTGTAGTTCGGCTCAGAAGCCTCTAGTGTAATAAGCTATGTCAGCTCACAAGGAGGCTACTGTAAACACAATGAGAAAACCTCCACGCTTCATCACCAGAAGATGACTCAACACTGAATAACGTCTTACACTGAAAACTGGAAGCTGCAATGAAAGATCTTAAGAACATCCTTTCAAGTGCATGTCAAAATTACACATGGCTCCTGGCAGCAGTCAGAAGGCTTGTTTTGCAGGAGCTGCCGCAGACCAGACGACGGCACAGCAGCAGCTGTCCTTTCCTTGTGGTTTACTACAGACTGGCCAGTAGGAAGAGACATCAGTACTTCCACCTCAACTGGAGCAGCTTATATAGCTTTGCAAGCAAACTAATTCCATCTTCAGCTATTACTCAGCAAGCCAACCTGAAAAGTCAGTTTATGCTCCCCAATCCGTAGCACACGTCGCACACAGATTTATCTCACGCACACACAATTAGCAGCCCTATAAAATCAGTAGTCATTGCTATTAGCAGGCCACAGGCCTCAGACTGCCTCAGAAACACAAAGCCTAAAGATTTTTCACATTTTGGCTGGACTTCTCTTGGCCTGAACTTATTTTCTGAGCTCAGATTTAGCTGTAGCAGCGCATGTTTAGCCGTTGAGAGACTTAACTGTACCAAAGTCATTACAGTCAGATGACTTGTGTCTAACATGGGTTTAGATTCAGGTCAGCTTTATGCAACTGCACAACCTTAAGGAAGTTATAGCAGATACAACAGAGGTCTAACAAAACCAGTGTGACTAACATCGGTAAACTTTTGGACCAACTTAAAGGATTAGCAAGTGACTGCCTGAAAGCATCCAGCACATGCCACGTAGAGCCACCACCGGCATCCTTCTTCCAGCGGAGATCAGGAAACTGGAAGGGTGAGCCTGAACAGGGTCCATGTGAAGAAGCTCCTATACGTCGATTATTGGGAACTAGCAGTAATTACACCACAAGTGTTAGCATCACTATAATTGGCTAACAATAAAAACTGCTACATTTTGATTAGACTGCTAGGGCATTAATTAGACTAACAATAAATTCTAATTCTTGACTCCACTTACGAGGTCAGGATCACAGGGTAATTCAGGTTGGAGATGTGTTTCTCTAGTCAGCACAAATTGCACAGTGTAATACACTCTTATTTAAAATTTTAATTATTTTTCCCCCGATTTCTATTTTAAAGGACTATGATGAAATTAACATTTCTACAAAGGGATTATGTTTGCTGTGGAAAACCTACTAATAAGCAAAAATTGTATTAAATGTTGTTATGATGCACCAGTTTTCATGAAAAGCGTAATCAGAAAAATCTCATTGCAGTAAGCACTATACTTTAGTTAGCAATTACTGTGAAATTCCTGAAAACAATTAGGCAAATATAGATGAAGACACTTAAGAGAGCTTTTTAAAAGCCCTTAGCAATTTTTTCCACTTGGCAAGAACACTAAGTAAAACAAGTAGTCTCTTTTTAGTTCTCAGTTTTTCATCTCCTTCTGCAATCAACAGCCTACAACGGAAGAGTAGAAGGAGAAGCATACATGGATACTTATTCCAAAATATTACCCTGTGTGCTACGCAACTAAGGGCTTTCCGGTAACTTTGCAATGAACCCACTTCTCCAGTACCTTCATGTGGGCATAGATTATGATTTTATTCTTTCAACATTCTAGAAATATCACTTGTAAGTACTGTCACGAGATACTGATATTTCTAGAATAGTTTCTAAGCTATCGTAAGATACAGAGCAGGAGCTGTTCCCTATGCAGATGTGTAAACTAAACAAAACAGTTGCAATACATGAAATCAACTTCCTGAGTAGAGTTCTTAGATACATGCTCACATATGCAACTAGAGCTCCTAGAACGCTATGTGCATAGCAAGAAGGTTTAGAAACATTTAACCACCAAATGGAAATCATCAGGCCTTAGCTTCTAAGTGCAGACTGTATCTGATAAATTACCAGCCAATTACTAATTTAATTCATCATCTGCAGTGACACACCAAGTTGGGAATTCACTTGATTCCTCTTGCCCCAAGTCCATTACTTTTCCAAATTTTCCTTTTCAGTATTGGAAAGGATAAAGGTCTTTCTAACCTCATCATTTAAATGACAATTTAACCTATTTCTGTTTGAAATTCTGTATCGAATAAAAATACCAAAAAGTATTTCCAAAGCAAAACACAAACATCACTGCTGTAACATAAACGTACAGACAAGCAAGCAAAATAAAGACTTGAACACACATAGATATTAAGAGGTATGATACTGCATAGCAAAAATGAGCATTAGAGTACTTTGCCACCACATCACTGTTGTGCTGAGACAATAGTGCTTCATAAAGTGTGAAATTACAAGTGCTTTCCTAAGATTAATTATCTCTAATTCAGGCCTGAAGTAGCAATCCACTGACAATGCACAATGAATAATGAATGTGAGTGTTAGATAAAAGGATTCATTGTCTGAATCTCTAACGCACGGGTCTCCAATTTCAGAATGAAAGGGAAGGAAAGGTGGAGAAGCGTAAGGTAGAAATGTAATGAATCTAGAATTTTCTTGAAATATGCAATTTCACACACTATTTTAAATTTTGAGTAACTAAGGTTTACTTTAAAAATAGCTCATAAATTGAACTCATACAGCCTTACAGTCACTGACTTCAGATATTTACAACTCTGGCTCTTTAAGGATGTTTTGTGAGCATTTATTCCAGTACCTAGCCGTTGCTTACTTGCCTCTCAAAAGTGACCACTGGAGTGCTCATTGCTCAGAATGCCATGCCACACCTCAGGATGTAGATGGTTCTGTTGCAAGGGTTACTTACAGTGGCAGTAGTAGAGACCCACTGCTTCTTCCTCAGGCATGATCTTTCAGTATTCATTGGACCTCAGACTCATCACATGTTAAGAAACTTATCTAGAAGCTCTTCAAACTTATACTGCTATGTTTGTAGTTTATGTGGTTGAGTCAAAGAAACATCAGGAAAGATCAAAGTGTAGTTTAGACATTAACTAAAGTAAAGTAATGAAGATTTGTTTTTTAATTCTGGTTTTACTTACATAATATTTCAACAGCATCTCAGAAACAGAGTTCCATGGAAAAGGAGAGACCTAATTATTATAAATACCACTTCCCTAATTACAAGAACGCAAACCACATGTAAGAGGATGAAGCACAAAGGGTACAAGAAAAGACCCAACATACTGTTTTCTGAATTCTGCAGGTTAAACTACTAGAAAGAATATCCAAACTGAACAGTTTTCACTCTGCTACATATCCTACTGGAAACCAAATCAAGAACACTACTTCGTGTCATCTAGACTTAGCAGCAACTATAAATTCAGAAAGAGTGGTTTCTGTCACCATCTGCTTGTCCTTCCTCCCACAGCATCTTACTGCCACTTGCTTCTGCTCACATTGAGCTCCACAAACATACATTCACATTAATATAACATTTATCAATATTGTACATATTTCAGCCAAATAAAATCTTAATAGCACAAAATAAACATTCTTGTTGGAAAGCTTCATAAGAACTCAAAATTGGCAATAATTTGGAATAAATAATGGCCTAAGATCCAGTAACTCTGAGAGAGGATAACTGAGGAATTTTAAGTCACATCAGACCTTGAAGGTAAAGACAAACATGAGGAACCACTGACCACATATGCATAGAGAAGAGCTATACACCCAACCCAGCCAGGAAAAAACATGGGGAGGGGCGTGGAACAGACACGACTTGCAAGATCAGAAAGGAAGGCCATGTAGTAATGATGTGAGATGAGAAAGGGCAGACAATGGGAAAGTAGAAGAAAGTTCAGATCTCAGTTACATTATTTAACACAAAGTACAGCATTTAGAAACACTGTCTCAAAGTGGAAATGTGGAAAGCGGTATCCATGCATAGGTCTAAAATAGAAACAATAGAAACTCTCCCTTATGACAGAAAGAAGCATTCCTCCTATTTTGTCCATGCTGAGCTTCCATTAATGAGGCACCAAAAAAAGGCAATATTTTAATAAAAGAAAATGTGACTGAAATTAAAAGCAAGAAGCACCATCATAGAGTAGACCCACAAGAGCTCCTCTGAAAAGTGATCACTTTTCACCAAAAGATATCTATGGAAAAAAAAATTTATAGTGAAATTAAGTATTGTGACTATATTTAACAAAAATATTTCTAGGGAATCTTAGGGAAGGTCACAGAAGCACAGTAACAATTAAGATGGTCTGCTGTACAAATGGAACAGCTTTAGACGTCAACTATGCAAGCTGAAATGGCTGTGCCAGATGTCCAGTGGTGCCACAAGCCTTTTGAACTCAGGGTAATATTTCACTGTACACTCCAGGATTTTTTTGTTCCCCTCACAGGTTAACCAAATCTCACTTTCCACTCAGATAATAGTCTTCGACACATATCCAGCCTTCCTATGGAAAGTGATTTTACAGATGACAGAACATAGCCCCTCCTGACGTGCACTAGGCAATAACAGTCAATGGAAAACCAACAGCATATGTTGGATACTTTGAGACAATCAGAACACTATTAGGATAAAGCCATTTGGTAGAGCCACAACTCTTTAACCCTATTTCCTACCAACCACCAAGTATTTCCTTAGAAATTTATTGAACAATTGAAGGAGAAAGCTTTTCTGCTATAGAAACTATCACCCGTATATAGAAAGCATCATATCTTCTTCATTAGTTGAAAAAAACCCTTTTGTCAATTTAGGAAATCTGATGTGAGAATACAGCTATACATACTGACTTTTGAACTACTGTTAAGAGTACACATGCTATAATGCCTCTGTATTCTTAATGCAAACACCATTATAAAAATTTCATAGTTAACAGTGAAAGGCTGGACTTCATGCCTTTCTCCAAGTACCCAGGCATTCCACATCCACCTTAATTGACATGCATTTCAAGTCACATCTGACCTTTTTGGTTTCTCACGCACTAAAAATGAAGGAAGAATTAGCCTAATGTTTTAAGACTGTTGATCAAAGTTCTTAGAATATATTTCAGCTTTTGAAGTAGTATATATCTGGCAGTTTTCCCAGAAGGGGGAACCAAGTCTCCTTTTTTATGACTGTCAGGACTAGCCCTGCCTCCTGGTGCTGCAGAGCACAGGAAATCACAGAAATAGAACAGCAAGTCAAGATATGACAGAGAAATTTACAGTGCATGTATTAGCACAGCAAAAAGAAAATTATTAAAATCCAGAAACACTAGAAAAGAATCTATGAAATATGACACGTTATTTTGCAATATATAAAGGTAACCAAAAAAAAAAATCCTTCAGAATTGATAGCAGTACTCCTTCAAGTAATATGCTAAACGTATCTCAACAGATCAGAACTGAAATGACAATTTTAGTTTCATTTTCAAAACTAAACACATTGTCAGGGAATTTTCAAAGTAAATCCAGTAGAGAATTTTTAGAGGCTAACAGTCTTACAACAAACATCTCTGAGGAGCTTCATATAAAAAAACAGAATGGAAATCATACTGGATAGAGGCTTAGCTCAAGCTGCCTTTTGCCTATGCGACAATAAAAAAAAAGCAAGAGTTTTTCATTTTAATTGTCACATTTGGTTTAAATAGTTTTAAAATTGCTGATTGCAAACGCAAAATATCTGAACAAATAAGCAGCCTATTTCTTATGCTAAAATTTACAAGGGCTTAATGTTTCTTGGCCACAGTAACTTTATCAGTTTATTGCTCTTCCATCTTCTGTGAAAGAACTGCTGTTTCACTACTGGTTAAGCTGTGAATCTTGGAAATATTCAGGGTCCTCAAGAACATATTTTGAACAATGCAATTAATTTAATTCCTTGGTGCACTTGCCTTTAATTACTATACAGTGTCCCAAAACCAGGTATACTATTCATAAACATGATAACATGAACTCAGCTGCATCATGAAATCTGAAGGAAACACTGAGCTATAGATCCAAGCATAGTTTTGGTTTGTATTTGTTTGAGGTAATTTTCAGTCTTTAGAAACAGTAATTCCTTCCAACTATTACAAGCTTGATTACACGTACATCTGATTTGATATATGCACTTATGAAGCATGGTTGCTACCCGAAAAATTACTTACAGATATTTAGTAAAAAAAAAAATGCGTGAATTTACATTATACATTCTCGCATTAGAGATCACTAAATATTTGTAGTATTTATAGATTCCAAGCTTTATTTAGGACTGTTCTTATACAGCTAATTTATACATGTTATCCTTTCCCAATAACTCTGGACTTCACTTTCAATTTCAATGCACTG